AAAATGACAACTTTTTCACAAAAAATTTACTTTTTCAACTTAAATTTTGAAAGTGTTCCGGAAAGTCTGACACTTTTTTATATATATTAAATTAAAGCTAATGTAATCTACTTTATTATGTAAAAAACAAATTTCGGACTTTATTTTGTCTTCACGATGAAAATGGCTACCAAATGCTATTATTGTGTGAAAATTCTCAATTTTATTTTTTACATTTTTAACTTTATAATGCTATAACTTATTGAAAAGTGTATTAATCAATATAATTTTTTTATGGGAAATTCTATTTTTTAATAATCTCTTTTTCATTCGACATACTTTATCTTAATCAGGATATTAATAAGGAACTAGCAGTTTATGAAGCTTTTGGAATAATCCTTCAATTTTTTAAAATTAAACACTATCTAAAGATTTGCATCAAAGCGTTTTTTTTTTATAGTGATTTTAATCACTGTCAGATATCATTATACTTGATCCATCTATACCACGTCACCACTGTGCCGCGACCCCCCTGTGCTGGGTTTTTTTTTGTTAGTCAGTGTAATTTAAGAAACCTTAATTATTTGAGTGAAATTTTAAAACATCACAATTGTAAAATTACAAATATATAAATTATAGTTAAATTAAGTAAATTCACGTTGAAGCGTTTTTTATGATAGTGATGTAATCACTGTCATATATAATAGCTAGCTATGGATTTAACTCAAAAAAAATTAATACTTATAAGTGATAAAATAAAAATTATCTAGTTAAGAAAGTTACTAGTCGATAAAAACTTTTGGTCCATAATTTCAGAAATTATTACCATTTTAAAATATATAATATTTTTTTTGAAAATGAATGAAACTATTTGCCAAAAAAAAAAAAAATGTGACTTGTGATAGTTTTTGTCTAATATTTTGATATGCAATGATATTATTCGTTTAAAGCATCAAAAATAAATTTATTTATCCTTGACAAAAGAAAAAAATATAAAATCAGATTGATGTTTCAATATTTGAATAGTCTTGAAATGATATTATGAACCTAATTTAAAAATAAATAGGTACCAAATAACGATGGGTAAATTTATGTATCTTTTCTATGACAGTATAATTCAACTAATTAATCATTGAGCCCAATTATGTTTTATTTTTAGAAACCTTTGATTACCGTTAAAATACTATAACCAATATTAAAGAATATAAAGTTGAGTTTCATTTAATAATATTTTATTGAGACAATTATTTTCCATTTGTGTAATAAAAAATTATATTTCAATTTCAGAATAACTAATTGGTTTTAAATAGTACTAAGTGTGTAAATACTCAATTTGAACATTCCAACATTGATTCTATATTAAAGGTGATACAAAAATTTATCATATATTTTGACCACAAATTAGTAATTCATTATGTAAAATATTGTTATTTTTCACATACTTATAAAGTACAAAACAAAAATATCATGCATCTAAATGAATTTCGAAGATAAAAATAATGTTTCAATGGTTATTTGTAGAACATTTATGAATAATAATTCAACTATAATAAATAACTTTTATTGATATAACGAAGACAATTTAATTTCGTTGTAAAAAATAATTGGTTTTATTATTGCACTAATTAATCCTAAAATAAGTATCATTCAGAAAAAAAAAAGATCTGATCTTTCATATGGGATAAGCTAGGATTTTTAATGAAAGAGGATATTTACAAATCAATATCTCATAGTAAAATGAGCCCTCTAAAAATTTTTTCTGAATACGCACTTTGTCAGTTGTTTTAAAACGTATATTAACGTAAAATTGAAAAAGTTAAAAACGTTTTTGCATTACGTCCAGCAATAACGCCGCACTGTTGAAAAATATACATATTGGAGTTCAATAAGTAATTAAACGAGATCTTATTGTTGTTAATGTTTGTAACAATTACAGTTTCCTTACTTTTTGAATCCTGTATATGTATAAGTTTACCGGACTTTTTTTTATAAAAAAGATAAGAACTTTTTAGTTAATATTTTACAAGCCATTTATTTTCAATTGAATGATTATAGTTCTGCAAATTATGTTTAATTAAAATATGGCATAACGAATTTATATAATACTGAGGGACTAAACAAATATATTAATATATTAAAAATATTTAATATATAAAAAATTCGATAAGATTTGCAAGATTTTATATTGTGAAATTACTTTTTATTTTCATGTATTTGAACATAATAGCTTAGTAACATTAATTTGTAATTTGTTATTTTCATAAAATAATTAATATTTAAGTCTAAAATTTAATACCCACTCAGGCTCGTTCATGAGTCAGGCTAGGTAAGGCCGGTTGTTGAAAAGTTCTATCAGATTTATTTCTTTAATAAAATCATACCATGAAAAAAATGTCTAAAAAATAAAAGACTTTAACAAAAAATTAAGTGGATAATAACTATAATAAAATATAACTTTAGAGAGAATTATTTTCATTCTTTTATTTTTGGATTAATTGAGTGGTTCATAATAACAAATTGATCTTTGAGATGTTATAGAGACATAAGCCTAAAAAAAAAACTTTTAGTGGGCAAAAAACGTTTTTCCACCCTAAATAGTTTTAATGTAATAGTTATAAGAATTCGTCAACAATATCGATATCGCCGACTTTTTTCATTTTTCTCATATCAATTATTTTTGAAATATTGCAATAATCGAAACACAATTTTTATTTAAAATAAAACTGTTTGAATTTTGATTACTTTGTTATAAAATATATATTATTTGATATTAAGCCAAAAACTGTTCGTGATAATATCGTTAATATTTTTTGTGTTAAAATATATTATGAAATATAGAATTGAGATAAAAATTGACGAAAAATTATGTTTATTGATACAAAATTCTATTTTTAGATTAGATATTTTTAACAAAACACGAACAAAGCAATGTATGTAGAGAATTAGAGAGAAAAATTTCAGAATTAGAAAATATATAGCAACTGGTTGAAACTTAATTTGAAAATAATGTTATTGAGCCAAAAAAAAAAAAATCCCTATTAATTGATAATGGTAATGATGATGATGCATTATTCTATAAAAGTTTGAATTTTGTTTTTGAAAAGAAGAAAAATTATTTTAAGTTATGATAAAGCAATAAAAAAATATAAACAGTACTTATAATCTTTTTTAGCTTCGATGCGAAGCGGAGAAGGTATTAATTTTACTATGTGTTTTTTTTTATTTATTTATTTTTTTTTTATTTATTTATATTTTTTTTTTTATGTCTGTTGCCACTTTTTCACTCTTTTGCTCTCACTGGACCGATTTCTTTCAAAAATACGTCAAAAGATCACAAATCGTATCTAGTTGAAGACATTACCCTTTTTTTTAAAATCTATCACTTAACCTGCTCATTAGGGGGGATTTAAAAAAACAACTTTTTTACAAAAATTATCTTTTTCAAATTAAAGCTTATTTTATGTACTATAAAATGAAAAAAAAAATTTGTCCCGACACTTTTTCTTCTACATTTAAACGGCTGCCGTAGTTAAATAAACACTATTTTTGTGTTAAAATTTTCGATTTTAAATTTTCAACTTAATAATGCTATAACTTTTTGAAAAATGTATATATCAGCACAAATTTTTTTTTATAAATACATTATAAGTACATCTTTCATTTGACATACTTTTTATTAAAATTGGACAATTTCCCCTTATATAGGGGGCGTTCAAAACTTAAAATATTGTAAAAAACATAGATCTTTTTCAACTGAACTTTTGAAAATGTTCCGGAAATACTGCGTCCTTTAAACATATATCAAATCAAAGGTTATGTTATATACTATCAAATGAAAAAAAAAAATTTGTCCCGACATCTTATCTTCTATGTGCAAATGGCTGTCGAAAATTTTAAAAAAAATGTAATGTTTGCGATAAAAATTACATTTTATCGGGATGTTTTTTGTACTTAAAACTGCCATAACTTTTTCAAAAATGAACAAATAAAAATAATATTTTTTTGTATTGAAACCTTAGATATTTCCCTTTCATTTGATATAATTTTTTTTGAAAATCTTACACTTATTTTATAGAAGGGGCGTTCATAACTTGAAATATTGTAAAAAACATAGATCTTTTTCAAATGAATTTTTGAAAATGTTCCGGAAATACTGCGTCCTTCAAACATATATAAAATTAAAGCTTATTTTATGTACTAAAAAATGAAAAAAAAAAATTGTCCCGACGACCTATCTTCTATATGCAAATGGCTACCGTATTCAAAAATATGCTATTTTTGTATGAAAATTATGGGTTTTGTATTTTATTTTAATAGAAGTTGATGTTGCTTTTGCAATTATCCATCAATTTTTTAAAATTAAACACTATCTACAGATTTGCATCGAAGCGTTTCTTATGATAGTGATTTTAATCACTGTCAGATTNCATCGAAACGTTTTTTATGATAGTGATTTTAATCACTGTCAGATTAAATCTATACTGGACCCAACTATTTTTTTTTTAAATGTCTTTCTTTTTTTTTTATTATTATTTAAAACCAAAGCACTGAAATTATAATACTATTAAATATATTTTATATAACAAATATATAGTGATAAATTCTTGTAACAAAAAAAAAAAAAACTTATTTCTTCATAATAAAAAGTAATTTGAAAATATTTGATAATCATTATGAGATATAGCTAGTATCTATATATTTTTTATATTAATACATCTTTATCTGATATGGTTGGTATTCCATAACTTGATTTTTTACAACAACGATGGTAACTTAACAGTATTTTTGAAAATAAAAAAATAATTAAAACATTTAAATATTAAATTTTTTTTTTTTTTCGATATCGAATTATTTTTTCATACTATATTGATATATCGCGATATCGGGAACAATTTTTTTTTATATTGCGATAGAAAATCGCTGAAATTCAGTACGATATTCATATGCAAAAATATATTGTTGACGAACCCTAACATTTATTATTTTCTAAACTTTTCATGCGATACTATGATAAATAAATATATCATATAGACTTGTGATAAATTTTCACATAGTTTGGTGTCTCGAAATTGTTCTGAATAAATTTTATAAAGCATGAAATCCCTAAGCTATATTATACATATTATTTGTTAGAAAGTTAATTGTAAGCATTATTTGTGTATAGTAAAAATAGATTAAACAATCTAGTTTTTCGTTGTTGTGCAAAATTATGTGTCACAAACATTTATTTGTTGTTTTTTTTTTTTTTTTAAGTGACTTTTAATCGTATAATTTTAATTTTTTAACCAAGATTTAATGGAAGGTGCTAAGGTAAAGTAGCTTTAGCTTTTAAACTTTTTGAAAATTAATACTTTTATCGTTTACTTAGATTGGTAAAAATAACAAAACTAACAAGCTCATAAAAAAAACAGAAAATAAATCTAGCATCGTTGCATTGAGAGGTCAAAATGAAATAAAATAACAAAGAATTCAATTTTAAAATTAAAATTATTTATTTTAGGCAAATTGTCAGTGCCAATAAGGATAAAGCCAAAAAAAAGATTAGAAGTGACTAGAAGTAATAGACATATTGACACGCCGGTAAAGGTCGCTAGATCTTTAAACTCATGTTTATCTTTAAAATCGCATAAGACGCAATTGGTACGTTCAAAGTATTATAGATCACAATAACTGAAATTTTACTATAATCAAGTCCAAATTAATTAAGGGGAGTGAAAGGGGGAACTACAATGAAGTATAAGTAATATATTTTAAACCAATAGTAACAACTAATTAACCAAAAATGATACACACATTTAAAAATTATATTATAAAGAGCTTCTGTAGTGTCCCTATTAAATAAATGAAAAATTAGTATAAATATAAATATATTATATTATATATTATATATTATAAAGTAATATAAATTGATTCATAAGAACTTAAAGAATATTTTATACCGCTATCTCATTTTGATAAAAACTTTTACTACGCCCTTTACCATTAATTTTAAGGCTCTATATTTTTTTCAGTCTAAATTAGAATATTATACCACAGTTTACTAAAATTATAATTTTATATAGGTCAAGTAATTTCAATTATACAACAGTTTTATCAATTAAATTTTTTAACAAATATACTTTTTTTTTTATTTTTTCCATCTCAAGATAAATTACAAATAATTAACAGATTTTATCACTTAAATAACATTTATCTAATAATGACAGCAAATTTTACACTCAGTAAAATTTCCCCAAGTACACATTATAATAATATTAAAAATTACGTGTTATTGGTTACTTTTTCAATTTTAATTGATTTTTTACACTCTGTTTGAGATGGAGTTGTCCTAAGCTTTTAATATTTGAAAAAATCATATTCAAATATTTCTATTGTTTCATGAACAATAATATAGATTCATTATTATTATCATTAATTTAATTATATTATTAGTTAAATTGCTAATTGCTATACTACCCTTATATCAGTATTATTAAATAGTATATTTGAGATTTAGGGATTACATGTTTCATGGTACCGAGGTAAACTATAAAATGTATGGTATAAAAATATAATTTGTACTTAACTGTAAATTATACAGCTTATTTTAACTCAAAATACTTCTAATAATATTTCCCAATCTATAATTATTTCATATCTTCGGCTATTAGTATAACCCTCACTTTTTCCAAATTTAAGGTTACAGCTAGAATGTATGATATAGAAGTAAATATGCAAAATTACCAAATATTAAAATCAAAAATAAGTTAGACTTGTTTAAATTTAAAATAAAAATTAGGAAAGCATTTTAATATAAAAAATACATTTTAGTGCCTCCTGAAAATTTTTATTTTTGAAGATAACACTTATCAAAGTAATAATCGTCGAAAAATATTCTTACACACTCTTTTAAAAAACATCGAATTGATAATATATAAAGTATCATAAACATTATATTTAATTATTAAATTTTGCTCAGCATAACAGTCATCAAACAACATCTAAAAATGATGAAGATTTTCTTGAGGATGACTTCGAAGTATTTAAACAGAATTTATTCAATCATTGTGAAAACCAACATTTGAACTCTAAAAATGAATCCAGACCAATGTCAGTGTCCATATCATTTCGCAAAACCCTTGAGATTTGTTCTAATGAGGTAATGATTTCTTAAATTAAGAATTTATTTGATTAATTATAGTGATGAATTCAATGAAGTAAAATGTAGCACTTATTTCTGTATAGTATGGCATAATTAAAACAAAAATGTATGAGGGTTCCAATTTAAATCCCCTACATAAAAATATTAACTTCGATGCGAAACTGAGAAGGTATTAGATTACTATGATGTATTTTTTTTATTTTTTATTTTTTATGTCTGTTACCCACTTTTCTCAACTCTCACCGAACAGATTTCTTTCAACAATACGTCAAAAGATTACAAATAGTGTCTAGTCGAAGACATTACACTCAAAAATTGAAAAAATCAACCTCGTTCCCCGTAAATGAGAGAAATCTCATTACAAAAAATTACAAATTTAATCGCTAATTTTTGATATTTATTCAATTTTTTTTACTTAAATTTGCAATAACTTTTTTAAAAATTACCACATCAATATAATTTTTTTTTATAGATGCATGATGTCTTTACCTATCATTTGATATATTTTTTTATAAAGCTAACCTTTTACCTGTCCACAAGGGGGTTCAAAACGACAACTTTTTGAACTTAACCTTTGAATGTGTTTCGGAAACTGATACTTTTATATATACCTTAAATTAAGCTTATGTAATATTCTTTATTCTTTAAAAAAAAATGTTGGGACTTTATTTTATCTTTACGGCAAAAATGGTACGTCAAAAGATCACAAATCGTATCTAGTCATTTTTAATTCAATTACAAATTTAAAAATCGCTAATTTTCGACATTTTTTTTTACTTAAATTTGCCATAAATTTTTGAAAAATGTATGGATTAATACAAATTTTTATGAGAAATACTATATATACACGGTAATTTTTTTATCATAACCCACTCAATTACTTGCAGAATAATAATAATTTAAACATTTTTTTTCTTTATTATCTTTAGTTACACATTATTCTTGAATTTTTAACTATGTAATACTTTTTAAGTTCATCCCTTATGCCTTGGAAGGGGGTCAACTTTGTTTTTTAAATGGTAACACATATTTTTAATTTAATAAAATGTTTGAGTTTTTAATTTAATAGTAAATGGCATTTGAATTTTTAATATAACCATACTCGTTTATTAGATATAAACATTTAAAGTTTCAAAATTTCGAGTTAATATACATGTATTATACACAAGGTATTACAAATACAGCTAGATAATTGGTTTTTTATGACATCAATATTCGCAGGTACACAGCATTGTTATTATCAATGGTAGTAAGGCACATTGTTGTGAGTTCATAAATACACTAACTGACTATATAAAAATTATATCTATTGATAGTCATAATTGATAATAAACAATCCGTGACTGTGACAGCGATGTCATAAAAAACTGTAAAAATAGCTACCTGTATTTGTAATCCTTTGTGTATTATACATGTATATTAATTCAAAAATTTGAAACTTTAAATGTTTATTTCTAATAAACGAATAAAGTTATATTAAAAATTCAAATGCCATTTACTATTAAATTAAAAACTCAAACATTTTATTAAATTAAAAATATGTGTTACCATTTAAAAAAACAAAGTTGACNCATTTTATTAAATTAAAAATATATTACTATTCATTGTAGGATTCAGAAAACTTTATACATTTTAACAAGAACAAGTGGTTAGAAATGACAATTCAAGAAAAAAATATGTGGCTTAAGAAATATCTACATAAAATAAAAGTAATTGAATAAATATATTTTTTTAATGAAATATTGTACTAAATAATTATTTTTTAATAGCGTGAGATAATTTTAGTATATAGAATGATAGTAGATTATCGTGGAGGAGACATATTACAAGATGAACTATCCGAGTTATCATCAATTTCATCAATGGTTGACATAAAACCAATAAAAGATCTCAAAAGTCCTAATGTATGTATAATGTTTTTTTTTTGTTTAAGAATAATAATGTATAAACTTTAGCATTAATTTGTATATTAAATAACAACAAAAGAACACCTATTATATTACTACCTTTCACTTTTGTGAAGTAAAAATTATCGATATATGATTAATGATTTATTATTGATCCATATTTTCTATTTGATATTTATCATCATTAAACATTGCCGTAATTATGGCGGATATGGATTATATGTCTAAATATTAAGGCGAAAGAAGTATAGTCGAATTTTTAGCGGCTATATTAGTATCTGGTTGAGTATTTAGTCACAACATCTTTACGCCGTTTAAAATATCAGCCTAACAAAAAATCCAAGAAATTTCATTATTCCTCTAAATCGAAATTTTATTTATTGTTCAATAGGATTACATATATGCGCTCATATCCCCGTTCCCACAAAATCATTGTACCGTTGTCTTGGCTTATAACATTGACACAGTGATGCACATATTACTACAAAAGGACAGACTGCACACATTAACACTTCTGAGATTCACCACCACCGTGTTATAATACGAGTGTCCTAAATGGCAGTTGACTTTTTACCATCATTATTCTTATTGTCTAAGACATAAAAATCAAGAGTTTTATATTTATATATATTATTGCAATGCGATCCTTGATAGTTCCTCTGAGGGAATATAAATTAAATAGAAGACCTTAGTATATAAGGTAAATATAACCTAACCAGCTATCCCCCGTTGTTTAATAACATGTTATTAAATATAAGACTACCTGATTACTTTAGATTATACTAGCCCCCCTAAAATATTTCCCAAATGTCCAAGTTATAAACTTCATTGATCAAGAAACTTTTTTTAGGGACGGGATAAAAAAATAAACATAGCGGCTGTTTTTCACTCTCTTGCAGTCATCTACCCACAAAAGGAAGACTGTACTTAAAATTTGATAAATAAAATTATCTAGTCTTGCAAAGTATTCTAAGAAATTATAAAGTTTTAATGACGATAAGAATAAATAAACGAGAAAGAATTCATCAGAAATCATTCATAAAAGAATTCGGATGAATATAAATATATTTAACACTAGAAATCACGAAATAGCCATAGACAAATATAACTAACATTAAAATAGCTATCTTAGAATTCTCTGTAATATAATAACAAAATTATTCTTATTGCTATGATTTTAAATTAAGAAAGTAAAAAAAACAAAAAATATAATTTCCATTCTAAAAGTATTTTAAGATAAATACCAAATTTTCATTAATTATTAATTATTATATGGTTAATTTCAGTTTATATATTCGAATTATTTTTACAATTTTAAAATACAAAGTATATATTATATTTTATAGTTACACTATTAAAAAACATATCCGAATATTCACATACATGTATTGAAAGTTTTTAGTACTTACAATGTAAGGAAAAATTTGGATAAATAGTGACAAAAATGTTATATTTGTGTACAAGCTTTTAATATATATTATGTAAAAATTACATTACTAATATGTAAAATTAATTTGTATATTAAAAAAAATTATACTAACGTATGAAAATTTTTGGATAATATCTTTTTATGTACAGATAGACAATGTGGCCAAGTTGGTAACACGGCAGTGGTTGACGCGCATTATTTCTAGTTCGAAACTAGAATACGCATGGCTCTGTTTTCTGTGATAGAGAGGGTGATAGAGGGGTCTATTTTTGAATTTTATATTGGTGTACTAATCTGTTTAGTATACTAAAACATGACGTTTTAGTGCAACTATTAGTGTGAAACTAAAAAACCATATTTTTGAATGTTGGTATGCTAAAAAATATTTATTAGTGTACTAAAGTTTTAGATGATCTTTTTAGAGTGGTATCTACCACACTAATTATGATTTTAGTACACTAATGTTACTGTTATCATTCATATTTATATGAAAACTTATATATTTATAACGTTTTCAAATTTATTTAATATTAAATATTAAAATGGAACACTTTCTTAATATAAATTATGTGCAAGTTATTAGTAATTTAGAAATAGTTGAAGATAATGGCCATTCAACAATGAAATTTCGTTTAGCGGAGGATCCGTTCATTGGTATGTTACAAAACAAATTACAATATATAAAATTATCTATTTACATTATTAAATGTTATTTTCTGTAGTTTTGTCCGAAAGGGCTTTTATACAAAAATTTAGACTGACAAAAGTTCTTGCACTAAATTTAATTAATGAGCTATGCCCATATTTAGAACCCCCATCGAGGAAGTCTGCTATAAGTATAGAGCGCAAAGTATGCAAAATATTGTACAATATTGTACAATATTGACTAAACAATAAGTAAAATTTAATAAAATTTTTGTCACGATAGGTACTAACAGATTTACGATTTTTCGCTAGTGTCTTCTTTGGGCCAACAGTTTCATTTAAAATCTTGGTAATATTTTGCCATAATAATTTTGCATCTTTCATGGTAAAAGATGGTCCAAATTTTTTAGAATTTAATTTTGGGTGCTTATGAACAAATTCAATTAATAATTGTTTTTGTTCATAAGTCACACTTATTGACTTTTTTTCCCTTCCATTGTAAAACATTACAGAAATTGAAATAAGAAATACTGACAAAAAACTCGTAACAAATTTCTTGTGGGTGAATTTTGTAGTTATCATAAATATTATCAAGTATTAACTATAAAATTAATATAAAATACAGTACAGCCAATATAATTTAACATATCGCACTAATAATTATTGGTTTGAAATGACATTAGATTAGACGATTGACACGGCCCGCGTAGCTTCGTTATACACGATGCCCCGCGACTCGTGCCACCTTTATCAGCCGTCGCCCTACTATGAGTATTTGACTGACCAACACCGCGTGTTATACGCTACGGTGCAAAGTCCAGCAAATGCCGCACGGCCGACAACGACCCGCCGCAAATGGTGCGAGAGTCTTCCTCCCGNAACGACCCGCCGCAAATGATGGGTGAGTTCTCGTTGTAAAAGCGACAACGTCGACCAACCGATCCGCACCCGCGCACCGTCGCCTATAACGCTGCTAACCATTTGCCGTCCAAGGATTACACCGGACATCGCGTCGTCGATGCCAGCGAAAGTGCCGCGATATTATGCGAAGATTATTATTACTGTGTTTATCTTTTCGGTTTGTTTTATTTTTGTTAACATAATCTGTTGTCGCTCATTTAATAAACGGCCCACGGGTCTCTACCCTCAAAACCAGTGTCGACCACATTTTTGCGACGTAAGTCGTATCACGATGTACGATTAGTGCAAGATTTTCAGGCTGATAAAAAATAAAATTCAAAAATACGAATTTCTATTAGTGCACTAAAATCATAATCTAATGTTTAAGTGTACTAAAACATTCGCCAATGATTAGTCTAAGATCAAAAGTAGACCCCCAGTTAAGTAATTGGAGTTCTCCCATTTCTCTCTCCGGCGACGGATTAACCACCCTTCTCGGAGTATCCATGGTAAAGCAACGCAAAAGAGTAAAAAAATTTTCAAAAACTTGTACTACTAACTAATGTTAGTTGTATTTGTCTATAGCTATATCGTAATTTATAGTGTTAAAAAGAACAAACTTCATTTTTTTAAGTACTAGATGTCTGGTAAACTTACGCATATATTCTTAAAAAATATTCCTGAATTTTCATTTACATTTACGATAGTTTATAACATACAATATTGAGGAAAATTTTTATATATAGTAGTAAAAATATTATATTTGTGTACGAATTTTCGATACTTTGTGCTAAAAATACACTACTCGTGTGTAAATGTGCATATTAAAAGTATCTACAAACAAATGGGAATTTTTGAATCATTTCTTACAGTATGATGTTTTATAAAATGGAATAGAATAGAATCACATAGTTTGGTCATGTTATGAGGAGAGAAGAATCGGAAGCTGTAAGAACAGTTATAGAAATGAATGTTGAAGGAAGAAGAGGTAGACGAAGAACATAAAAGAGATGGAGGGATGCTATTGAATGCGATATGAGGATAGCTGATGTGAGCGTAGATGATGTGGGAGATCGTGTCATCTGGAAGTTTAGGATAAGGGTGGCCGGACCCAAATAGTTGGGATTAGGGCGAGGAGGAAGAAGAAGAAGAAGAATAGAATGATATAGAATAGAAAAATTAATTAATTTGTAATTTATTTATTTCTGCATTCAGATTCAAAATGATTACTTAACTTTAATGGTTCAAATCAAGGAACTTCAAGAACGATATAATGAAATTTTGTTGGAATTGGAAAACACCAAAAACACTAATACTCAATTATCAAATCGTTTAAACGTAAAAAAAATTGACCAAGAGATTTTAACTGATGGAATTAGAGTTGAAGAAGTTGAAAAAAAATTCAATGATGCAAAAGAAGAATTAAATTCTATGTATTTAAAATTAACTTTTTCAGAAGACCGGATTGATAACTTACTGGGAGATTTAAAAAATAACCATGCTGAGTTGGAAACGACAAAGTCGTTAGTAATAAAGTTAGAAGAAAAAGTAGAAAGTTTAACTAAAACCATAGAAGAAGTTAATAAGAATAGTAACATACAAATGAAAAGAATCGAAGACCTATGTGAAGAGCGAAAAAAACTTAGAATAGATTTAGCTGATGCATCTAGGGAAAGAGATTTAGCATTGGAGGAAATAATTGAATTAAAAAATAGGTATTTATTTATTGTAAATAATAATAAATATAATTAGTCAGGATTCCAATTTATTTCTATATTAGAATAATATAAAAAATTTACAGAGAAAATAGGAATAATAAAGAATTGATCGATTTAAGATCACGAGTTTGCGAGAAGAGAACAGATATTGTTATGAAATCAATGAAACTTAGTAATTACATAGACGAAATAAATGAAAAAAATGATCAAATCAAGCACATGTATAAGTGTTAAAGTAAAAATTATAGTTGATAGCTTAATTAATATTAATTGTTTGTTACTTAGGCAGGAAATTATTTCTACTCATGAAAATATTATTAACAGTTTGGTAGGATGTAAAGAATTAATATTTAAACAAAGCTTAGAGTGAAGTGGAGTAATAATAAACGATTGGTATAATCGTAAATGCATTTTTTTAGATAATTGCATATTATTCTAAATTTAAATTAATTTGGAGGCAACACATATAAGGACCAGAACTTTTCAATCTAATATAAAATAAAATGAATTTATAAATACTCCATTCATTTACATTTACCCCACTTCACTCTAAATCAATTTTATTATTTAATTAAAATTTTAGACAGTTGATAATGTGGCGCAAAATAAGAAAATAATAAGCTTAGAAGCAAATAAAATTTCAATGGAGGACAAGTTAAAATCATGGGAAAGTAAAGCAACTTGTTGGATGAACTCATTCGTTCGCGATCAGTTTGAGTCAAAAATAGAGCAGCAAAAAAACGAAATTGAAAGTTTAAAGATATTGGTCAACAATTTACGAGGAGCATACAAAAATACTGAGACTGAAAAAAAGTTAAGTTACAGTATTATGATGGAAAAGTAGATTGATTAACTGTTACTTTTAGTGGGCTAGAGTATGAAAATAATAGGATAATAGAAATGAAACAACGAGTAATCGAGAAGCAGAACAACGTCATAAATTTAATGAGAGAAATAAATTCGCACCAATCAAATGAATTAATTGATAGTAAAGTACTAGAATCTATGAATACAATTTTTTCGAAATATGAAGAAGATAAAATGTTAGCTGATAAATTGGAGGTAGCTACTATTTTTTTAATTTAATTTATTGGTTTTTTTTTATTAATGTCCGATACTGAAGATTTTGGTTCAATAATATTTCTAGTTAGGTCTCTTAAATTATGATTATTCCGTAAGTATAATTCATTATAATTACATTTTAAAATTTAAAAAAATACCTGTTTTACATTTTGGTTCTTACTTATTAATAAGAATAGTGTCACTCCCAGTAGAAAAAATTCCATCAATCTTCGTGTATACGATGTAGATCTGTTATTTTATAATTAGATAAATGAATTCACTAATAAATTTCCTAATACCTTAGTTAAAATGAAATATGAATTTATTAAAGGTATATATTATGTTATTTTTAAAAAATTACCAAATTAAATTTACACATTGCATAGTAATTTAAGTGAGGTGGTAACATTTACATTTAATAAGTACGTTATAATACTAATTTTTTTTATTGTTACAGGAAGCCTTAATCGAAAAAACCCGTTTACAACGTTTAGTAAATGATTACAAATTACGGCTGAATTGTTCTATCGATTATAATGTTCAACTGTTGGAATAATATGTGATTTAACAGCATTTATTATAATAGCTGAATAATTATAATGAATATTATGTAATGGAAAAATATACAACCATTATGTTTAGTCACAATTTATAAATTAATTAGTTTATTCAACAGCCATTAACGAGATACCTTTTCCAGTATCTCTTATCAAACAGGCGTCAATATTAAAAGCAAAATACATTAATGTCTGATATGTTTTATATGAATGGTGCTTTTAATAAAAATAAATAGTCATTTTAAACGCGAATAAAATAACTTTTTTCAAACAAAACATTTAAAATAACGAGGAATTAAGTCATTACGAGAATAATGAGCTAAATGAAACAATGTAATAACATCAAACAATTAAACAAATTAAATAATAAAAATAAATAAAACTATGGATAGGGAATAAAGTTTACGTAAAACCTTATATAAAGACGTGGTATGCGATTTTTCTTGTCACAAGTAGAAATAATATAATTGTGGTGATTGAATTTTATTAACAAAATAAATAGAATTAGGTTAAAGAGATGTGTATTCTAAAAAAACTTTGTTTGAATTTAAATAATTAAAATGAATGGTAAGTTTTTTAATTTTTACTTTAAATAATTTAACATTTTTTATTATAAAAGGTAGTTTCAAACAACAATTTAAGACATGAAATATATTCAGTATTTTTTTTATCTGTAGAACACTGATATTTTATGATAATACACTAATATTGTCACATAATAAAATAACTTATACTTTGCAAGAGGGCCATATATCGAAATTCGTGATATTATTTATTATTATTTTCTATTTAAGTATGCAAGAAACTTCCATAAAAATTTATTTAAACTTAATATAAATGCTAAAAAGAACGTAATAAATGTAAGTCATATGAAAGATTGAAACTTTGAAATCATTTATCTTAAATGTTTATAATGATTAAAAAAAATCGAACCAAACTCAATTCAATGAATTTACATAATCTGAACTATATAATACTATAAGCTTATAGCATACTCAGGATTCTAAGTAATTTATAAGCAAACTATAGCAGAAGTAGCTGATTAAACTATAAGAAAAAAATGTTGATGGCATAAATGTCATTTGGGGTAATTCCTCTTAAGTTATTTCTATTGCATAGGTCCGATTACTTGGAGTGACAGAGTATTTTTCTTCTATGAAAGTGTAATCACCTATATAATTGCATGAAACATGTATTTATTTTCAGAGAATAGATATCTATCAAAACCTCGTGTTGTCAAAGTTGTTTATTAATGGTATTTTATAAAATGTCTATTTATTTAAAATATTTGAAGAATGGTCAGCTTGGGTTTGATTTCAAAAATTATAATTTTTATATTTTTATTTTATATGTTAGTACTAACGGAACTTATATGTATAATTGTGAATAATTTATGTTTCAATAGGGTTTCTTATAGAATAATACAATGAATTTTTACAGATAACAAAGGGGTTAGGATCACTCCAAAAATCTTTTGATTAATTATGAACTATCATGGATTCACAGTTGACAGAACATTTGAATAGGAGACAACGGTTGATTTCGGAAAAATTGTCAGATAGTATTACTATAGAACGCAAAATTCACTTGAGTTCAGATCCCCGACCACTTAATTTTTTACCTAGAATAAAGTGTAATGTGCCTAATGATGACGATTTTCTGAAAAAAATAATAATTTTTGAATCATTTGGTAACAACGCATATACTACTTCCAGTTTTAGTTCATCATCTAGGACGTCTCACGGGAATTTTAATAATAAATATTACAATAGTGGACAGAAAAATACAATTAGTTGCTTAGAAGCGCTTCAAAAGATCAATAAAACCTTCGAAGAACAAAGTGTACCATCTTCAGTATCTAATGAAGTTCATAATTTAAAAAGTAATAACTTTACAGTCAATAAATTTAACTTCCAAAAGAGAATTACACAATTAAACTTATCATCTATTAAGCCAAGTTACAAATGTATCAATACTAGAAAAGAATTATTGATAAATAAGAGGGTCTTTGTCAAGTCCCCAAGATCAGATAATAAAAATTGGCAAATTGATTCAAAATGGACGTATTTTATGGTGACTACTCAAGAAGATGATAAATTTAATTTGTCTAAAACTCCTAAATATCTTGATAAAAAGTTAAAGACGAATGGTTTGGTGCATAATACCATTAAATTATTTTCTAGACGCTAAAATTTATTTAATAATGAGTCAATTTTTATTGATATTATGAATTAAAACTCCTGCTATTAATCTTATTTTAATATTTCTAACTATTTCAATTTAAAAATACCATTTACAAATATTATGGAAAAATGCGTTTTTGTAAATGAAATTGGTAGCAAACTTTTCGAACGACACGAATCGGATTCGACAATTCTTGGTCTATCTCAATTAACAACTGTTGAAGATTGGAAAAAATACCAACAGCAAATTATCAGATCGTGTTTTGATTGCTGGGAAGAAGATGACGGTAGTCAATTAGAAACGGATGAAAAAATTTCATTGATCAACAACAAGTCAAAAACGGATAGAGAAATTAAAAACGAGCTATTAAAATTTTGTGAAAGCAATCAAGTTTGTAGTAATAGTGTTGACGAATCACTAAAATCTTCAACTACAGCAGTAGTTATGGATAAACGCAAGAATTTTCCTAAAAGAAAATCTAAACGTTTTTCGTTTTATAAGTATACTAGAAGGCTTATCCGAGAAAAGAAACCTATTTCTTGGTCATCGACGCAAGAAACGGAACCGTCATTTTCAACACAAAGTAGTTATGCTCAAAATGGTACTTTACAATGTCGATGCTCCGCTGAAGATCTGTGGAAATGTAAAAAGTGGTTCGATTCGATTGAAAAAATTCCGAATCTTCCACCACCACGACTTGGTCTAAGACCAGGATATCCATTTGTCTGTCCATCTCCTGCAGTATCAGTAGCGAGACATGAACGACTAGCAAAGCGCAGAGTAAGAAAGTTTATAGATCACATCAACTTGGACAGGCCGCTTGTCGTGTCAAGTAGAAATAGATTGCGATCAACTGAAACTCTAGGTACATCAGATAAGTTTAAGCGATTTTTTAGAAACGTTTTTCGAAAAAATCGTACGAATTTGGATCCACAATTATTGGCTCAATCTATTGAGTATGCTAGCCAAGAATTGAAAAAATGGTATTCGTTGTTACAGTGCTTAGAAGACATCAAACATAATACCGAAAGTACTAATAAAATTATAGCGACAACATCAACAAATGATGACTCTATAAAATATAAGTTCTCCGAAATTGTCAGCAATAATAATGGAAAAACTAAGGATAATGAAACAGGCGATGACAAAAATTATTGTGGAAATGTGGAAACTAGATTTTCAGACAATGTCGATCGATTAAACGGTAACGAAAGGTTAGAAATTATTAACTGGTCGACGGGTCAGCGAGGATTGCGTCAGACAATTCAGCGTAGTCTTTCAGACACAGATTTACCAGCTATGGCATTAGACTATGAAAGAGCGTTTGGCACTAAAATAGTTCGAATTAGTCGAAAAACATTAATGCCTGAAGAAGATAGAAACCCGGAATACTTAATAGATGATGAGCATGGTGACGGCCGAAGGGATGGCGTTGCATTAGGTCTTTGGAAAGAACACCGCGAATGTTTTCGGACAGCTGTTGCTCGGTTAGAATTTGTTGGCAGTACATTTAAAGAACAGTACCGTTTAACCGGTCTGAAGGCTCTTTGTAAAGTAGACGTGCTAGCTGGTTTCGGACGGTCGGCTGAGGCTGTTGATCTGTTTGTCTCCTTACTTCCACTTAGTAAGAACCCAGATTTGATGGTTCGTAAAGCTGAGGCTGTGTACGATTGGAAATTTTTTTGTCATCTGTGTATGTGGCGACATTCTTATAAAGATTAACAAGAAATAATCACTGATATTTTTCTTAATATTTAGTTGGTTCAATTATTATATAGAATACTATTTGTTCACTAATTGTATAACACTTTTCCCGAATAATTATGATTTATACAAAATTCAGATTTATGACACATCCCTTATATGAATATACACACCTGTAAATTTTTGTACTGAAATAGAATATTTTGAGCTATAAAAAATTTATATACTTTGAATTATTAATAACTTTTTTTACATGAAAATAAGCTAAGAATAAATAATTTTTTACATAACGCTTTAAGAAATATTGACATGTATAAAATGTAAATAAATTATAATAATAATAAAAATAATATATTATTTTTATCAAACTTATTAATGTAACAAATTGTTTTGCTAAATAATATATAGTAATTATTATATATACTTCTACAAAATAATTCAAGAATTTTTGTAATTAAAATGAAACTTTATAATAATGAATAGTTTTCACTGAAAATTATTTCAATAGAAATTATTTGTAATACTAATTTAAATTGTTCAAGTATAATTTTGACATCGGTATCTGAAAACCAGTTAGGATTGATGCCTGGTAAGTTAACGACGAAGCCAAATTTTATGTATAAGACAACGAAAAGATAAGTTATTTGCATTAAGACAAATTCTAGTCCTCAGTTAATCCGAATAGTATCATCTGGTTTTATCATATCTTTGATAATACAAAATGATAAGTCATTGAAATAATGATTGATAAAAATAATTAATTCAGAATCGACCTGTTAAATAAACATTTTATTTAGATTCTTTAGGTATATAATTGTATTATTATATTTTAGTCTAAATTATTACTTAATACGTTTAATAGTAAGTTGTATCAGTTATAGTACCATGTCGACCGAAGGTAAACCTGATCCAATCAAATATTTTATTTCTGGAGGTTTTGGTGGCATCTGTACAGTATTAACTGGCCATCCACTGGATACTCTTAAAGTATGATAATTCAAATGTAGTATACTATATTTTAATTAAAAACATTTCTGTTCTTAACTATTAATCAATTGTTAATATATACTCTAATATAATCTACCGAAAGTAAAATATTTATAAATAATAATCAAGTTAATACTTTTTTTAAGGTATTTTATGTAATTGATATTGTAATTTTTATGTAGTTTTAAGTAATTTATGAATTTAATTAGTGTTAATTTTTTAGGCTCTACTTGAGTTTTATCTTAAATTCTCTAAGTATTTTATAATAGGAACTGTCTTTTTTTATTTAACCATATTCAAAAGTACTCTATAAATAATTTCGTATTATTTTTAAATTATTAGCTGTAAATTAATCATGTATTTTTTTTAATTTAAAGTTTTATACATCTTCTTTTCACTTTTCCCTGTGGATAGGGGATAAGAATACTTCCACGGATGTGAGCGTAGATGATGTGGGACATCAAGTCAAGTGGAAGTTTAGGATAAGGGTGGCCAACCCCAAGTAGTTGGGATTAAGGCGAGGAAGAAGAGGAAGATACATCTTCTTTTTACTAGTCTTTATGTCAACTATTTGGGGTCAGCCACCCTTATCCTAAACTTCCACTTGACACAATCTCCCATATCAACCGTCCTCGCATATCACATTCAATAACATCCCTCCATCTCCTTTTTTAATCTTCATTTACCTCTTCTTCCTTCAACATTCATTTCTATAACTGTTTTTAAAACTTCCAATTCTTGTCTCCTCCTAACATGACCAAACAATCTAAGTCTATTTTCTCTCAACTTATTCACAATTGACTCTATTTTTAATTCCTTTCGTTCAAGAGCTGAACTTCATACCTCTAGCCTTTCATTAATTTCCTCTCTATTTTCTCCTATTAACACTATATCTTCAACGAACAGCATGAAAATAAGTAAAGGCTTAAAGTAGAACCTTGGTGCACTCCTATTCTTATCATAAAACCTTCTGTTACTCCTCCCACACCTTATTCTGATACAAATGTCATTGTACATATCCTCTATTATATTAATGTACCTTTTTGGGACTCCTATTCTTGTTAATGCTCACTTTAGAATCTCTCTTGGTACTCTATCACATGCTTTCTCCAAATCTTTAAATACCATACACAGAGTTTTCTTTTTTCCCCTATACTTTTCTATTAGTTATCTTACACAAAAAACTGGCTTCATCTTGACTTTCCAGGAAAAAAACCAAATTTTTTTTTTGTTATTGACATTTCTTCTCTTATTCTTTTGTTTATTATCTTTCCCCAATTTTTCATTCTACTACTCATTAGCTTTATGTCTCTATAATTTCCATACTCTTGTATATCTCTTTTGCCAAAAATTTAAAATACCATTTTGAAAAATAGTAGGAACTCTTGAGGAACAAATAATTTGGTTTTCTATTTGTAAAATTGCTGGACTTAATATGTTATTATTTCAATTATGAAATTATTAATAAATTCAGAGTTATAATTTAAAAAACTTACAATAACTATGAAATATTTTTATTGTAATTATTTCTATATTTAATTATTTACTTACTCTATCAATTTACTAGGTAAGATTACAAACCATGCCATCAGTACAACCAGGTCAAACACCAATGTATACTGGTGCATGGGACTGTGCAGTTAAGACTGTGAAAAGGGAAGGTTTTCTTGGATTGTATAAAGGTACTGATATTTTAAACATTGATTGAAAGGTTTGACTTTTGAATTGTTATTAACTTCTGAAATACTAGTTCCAAACCTGTTAGCGACCAGTCATTTTCTTAATTAGATTATTTTCTGTTTTATAATTTAATTAAATATGTATGTTAACTTTTAGATAATATAGTTGACACTCCTATACATTATAAGAGATGATCCTAAAAAATAATTGATAGCTAATAAATCAAGAAATATGTGTAACTAAAATAAATTTTTAAAAAGTTTTTTCAATATTGTATTTATTTAGATATCAAGTAATATCCAAATTGAGTCGTTTTTATGCTTTTGTCTATATCTATCAATAATTAATTGTCAGGGGCTTAGGTTTCTTGAAAGTGACACAAATAATTTTTATGTTATTTATGGTTTACCATAAAGCTATTTAAAATTTTAGTCTTATATAAAAATATACTTATGTTTTAAAATATTAAATTACTATTTCAATTTTGACAGGCATGGGTGCTCCAATTACAGGAGTGGCTCCAATATTTGCAATCAGTTTTTTAGGCTTTGGACTTGGTAAAAAAATATTTGCTTCTAATAGCGAAACATTGACTCCACCACAGCTGTTTTGTGCTGGTTCATTTTCTGGTATATTTACTGCAATTATAATGGTTCCTGGAGAACGCATAAAATGTATTTTACAGATTCAAGAAAGTGGAAATCAAAAATATAAGGGACCTATCAGTGTAATAAAGAAACTGTACTCTGAAGGAGGTGTTAAAAGTTTGTACAAGGGTACATGTGCCACTTTACTTAGAGGTATTAATTTTTCTTATTTTAACTATAATTAATACAATGTTATTCTTTATGAAAGATATATTAGTAAAAATTAACTTAAAGCTCATAAACATTTTAGTATATATTACTCTATTTATAAAAAAATTACAAATAAAAATTTTCATTTTTTATGATTAATAAAAATTATATAAATGGTGCGATTTTAAGTTCATTTTTTGAAATCTCCTCTTTACTTATAAAAGTACCATTATTTAGTTGAACTGATTTATTAAATTTATCATCAAATATGTTAATATTTTTTAAATTTTGTTCTGTTGAAGTCTTACTAGTACTTTCTACTATGTGGTCATATTCTTTGTGTGCATCATTTTTTTTAATGTTTGTTGTTACAAAGTTAATTTGTTCTATTTTATTGGTATTATTATTATCTAGATTAGTATCTTGTGGGCTTAAGTAGTATTTTTCTTTATATTCTATATATTTTTTTTTCATATAACTACTTCTGTATTTATTTATAGGTTTTTTATCACAATTTAAATACTTCCTGAGTACATGAGATACTGTTTTACCTTTAAATTTTTCTGGACTAAAACAAATGGGTTCTGATTTTTTACTGTAAACATAAGTTTTAATTTTTTTAAATGAACAACTGTATCCTTTTTCATTACGATCCCATTTGCAAACTCGTTTATTGACTTGTTGTATTTTTTTGGCCATTAATGATGTATCCCAAGATTTCATGTAGCATGAACAATGCAAAGGATTATTATCTAAGCTTATGATATTTATTCTTGACATTGTTTTAAAAACTCCATCTGGTATGTTGGTTAACTTATTGTTGTTCATGATTATTTCTTTTAATGAAAATTGTTGATCAAATAAGCCTGGAGGAAGTTCTTCAATTTGATTGTATGATAAATCTAAATGTTCCAATTTATACAATCCGTAAAATGAATCCATGGATATTGATTTTATAGAACAGTTGCGGAGCACTAGATGCTTAATATTGGGTACTTCAACAAATGCATCAAATGCTATGTGTTTTATTATCCCTTCAATTTTTAATTCAACTAAGTTAATAAGTCCGCCTAACAAGGGCCTTTCAAATGTGTTAATATTGATATTGTTCAAACAAAGTTTTTCTAATGAGTCAAGACCAATGAATGAATTTGAAGCTAGATTTAACTGAACTTCTGAAGACCCTAATGTGAGTTCTTTAGTAGAATTCAATACTTCAAATGTATGTGGAAAAACTGTTATTACTGGGTTTCCTTTTAAGTCAGCTATCTGTAGTCTTGGTAGTGGTGGAAAAGTTGTTTCTGATAAATATGTTAATTCATTGTTTTTTAAGTTTAGATATTTCAGATCAAGTAGTCCACCTAATCCTGTAGTTTGCATGTGGTTAATCTTGTTATCAGCCAATGATAGACTCTTTAATGATTTAGCACCATAGAATGTGAAGTCAGGTATAAACTCAATTCCATTATGATCCAATATTAGTGTCTCTAGAGAATGAAACCCATCAAATAGATCCCAAGATATATTATGTAAACCGCAGTTGACTATTCTTAGAAATGATATATTATTTTTAACTGTAAATGAGTTATGGATTTTTTTATTTGTTTTACCTTCTGTTTGTTGTTGTTTCTTGTACATTCTATATGGTAATATTTCAGCATCCTTGGGTTGTAAAAATATCAAAGTATTTTTTATTATAGAAGAGTTTTCGATATCTATCTGACTTTTCTCAACTGATAATAGTGGTACTAATTCATTATACGCATACAAATTTTCATTTTTGTACATTTTTGAATTCATTGATGGCTTTGGTTGATTAGAATCTAAAATTAATTTGTCAAGTGAAACATTTTCAAGGCTTAAATATCTCATGCTTTTCAATGTTTCAAATATTTCATCTGTTATATGTAATTTGTTTTTTACTCCATGAATATCCATCACTATTAATGCTGGTAATTGCCATTCATTGCCTGTCAAAGTTATGATTCTTGAATCTATACTTTGATAAAGTATTAATGCCTGCAAAATATTAAAAACCATTAAAAATAATTTAAAGAGAGTTTTTTATATGGATACATTATGAAAAAAAAAAATGTGTTAACTAGATTAAACATGTTTTATTATATGGTAAAATTAAAAATATTGAATATTTTATTAAATTTATTATATAGATAGGATGTGGATTTATTCATTTTTTTAAGTTATTCCAATTTTGCCATCAGCCAGTAAAATTTTTATTTATTGACTTTAGAACTTGGTAATATGTTGATATTATAGTATTAGGGGGTTTATCCTTTTAAAACAAAAAATATTTCTGTGTTCTATATACTATTACTACTATATGACAAACTTACACAAATTTGTGACCTTTAAAAAATAGCTTAAACAAAATTTATACCCTGTACCCTAGTTATAGGTATTAGTAATATTCTCAAAAATTTTAATTTTAAATCAAAAATTTTATTTCATTTATGGTTATCTTACTTCTGTGTCATTTGGTAAAGAATGGAGAAATTCTTTTGGTTTGGTAACATTTATAAAAATACATAATGTAGTTTTTAATGAATGGAAACTCTCTGGTGTAAATGGTACATATTTTTTCTCATTAATTACCTAAAATTAATAATATAACTTTAATCATCATAATTAATTCTAAAATTATAACATTTATCATTGAATGTATATAGGGTGATTTTTTTATCATAACCTACTCAATTACTTACAAAATTAATTTAATTTTAATTTTTTTTTTTTTTTACTACAATTCAAGAATAATAAACAACTAAAAATATTCAAATTATATTTATTGTGAGTAATTAAGAGGGTTATTATAAAAATATACCCTGTATACTTTCTATATTTAATACTATTACATAGAGATTACATAAAGAAAACCAAATATTTATTAATCCAATGGTTCAGGTAAAGAAAACATTTGGAAATTAATATACTATAAATTAAATTTTTCAAATCTGAACATTTTTTTTCTAAAATAACCTTAACTAGTCAAAAATTGTCATATATGTGGGTAACTTGTAATAGTTTCATTTTCCTTAATACCCTATATTTTTTTTACTATACAAATGTATGTAATGTTAACATGATGATACAAAATATTACTTTATTATTTGAATCATTATCCATAATAGTTGAGAACGATTTTTCTTCAGGTCCAAGTCCAAAATGTATCCATTTAGAAATGGGCAATTCAATAAAAGGAGTAAGTCCACATGAACATGCTCTTGGACATGCCGTATCCCATCTTATATTCCCTATTTTTTTAAAATCTTTCTATAAAAATAAAAACAGTTGACTCTGAATTAAACTAAAATTAATTGGAGAAAAATATTTTTTTGAATTAAAGATGTATGTATATATATATATAATTTAAGGAACACTTAAGTTACAATGTCAATATTTTTTAAAAAAGTGAATGTAAATGTCAAATAACAACTTATTTCCATTCATGACATTTATTTTTTTAAAAAACTTTTTTATAAATATTTCAAATTTGTATGGAATTTATTGGTTTTATAAATGTGTTATAAAATATTAATAACTCATTCAGATAAAAAGTATCATTTTTTAAATAAATTAAAATGTTATCAAATTATGAACATAAAAAAATTTTTAAACTTAAAGTTAAACATGAAAATCATGAACTATTAATATTTTAGTGTCATAATTATTTAACATATATTTTACCTCAGAATCGGTAAATGAAACATTCAAGATACAAAGCAAATAGTAAATCTTATGAAATTTTTTTTTATTTAACAACATTTTTATGTAAATATATTTGTAAAATATTTAGTTTATTATTCTGTTGTCTTTATAAAATTTTAATAAACTTGTATTATTTTCAACACTATTTTAAATTAAATTTCCTATCTACATCTATGTAAAAACATTATCAAACTGTAGAAGTTTCTTCCTGCCATTCTAACAGGAACTGATAGTTTTTGTGGGAGTTTTACTGTTCATAGAATTTTAGGCTAGTCAATCTCTTTTAAGATAAAAAAAAAATGTTTTATCATAAAAAAAAATTAAATATTTATTTTTTTACAGTTTAAGAATTTTCTTTATTTTATTCAAACAACTTATTATATTCAACTATAAAAAAATATCTTATAATCAATTTATTTATTAAAATTAATTAATTTTGTTAAGACAAATAAATAATGAAGAAATAATACCTAGCAAATTATTTTCAGATATAATCCTATAAATGTGTATACCTTAAAATGCTTAAATTGTCTTTACTTTTTAACATATACTTTACTTTACTTAGACCTATTATTTTTACTTTTTTCTTTATATTATTATCATAAAAGATATTCTAACCTTTTTTATTTCAAATAAATGGATGAAATATATTTTATTTATTTAATAATTTATATATTTCAGATATTCCAGCATGTGGTGTATATTTTATGACTTATGAATTATTAGTAAATTATCAAAAAGAAAAAAGTGGGAATAATATAAACATGTTGAATACTATATTTGCTGGTGGTATGGCTGGAATATTGAACTGGTTAGTAGCTATGCCACCTGATGTCCTTAAAAGTCGTTTGCAAACAGGTTAGATTTGAAATTGTTATATTTTTTTATTTTATATCTTATTAGTAGATATAAGTTAATTATATATTTGTAAAAGTTGTTAGAAATACTTCTATTGTATCCAAGTTGAGCAAATTTATTTGAAGTGTATAATATAGTACACATCTTAGGCAGACAGCTTTCTTGTGGCCCAATTCTTTATGTATTCAGGATGATTGAAACAAAAGTTTAATAAACGCTTACTAATCCAGGTCTTAATTATTAGGATTTGGATTTTGCCACAAATGTATGGATTTTTTTTATAAGGATCTAAAAGAAAATTCCTTTTTTTTCTTGGAATAATATCAAGTTTTTAAATCTCATTATCATAAATATATAATAAAATACATAATATACATATTCTTTTATATTCCATGTGCATTAAATAGATTAACTTTATTAACATTAAATTAACCTCGAGCATAAAACAAAAAAAAAACCCTTTTTACTAAAAGGTTGTAACTAGTGATGGGAAATATCGAATAGTAACTATTCGATAGTTGTCCACTATTCAAATTATTTGATAATTGTCTACTATTCAAATTATTTGATAGTCATTCAAAATCTATTAGAATAGTAAAAATATTTGATAGTTACACAATATATTCGAATAGTTTTTATAATAGTTAATATAATGTAAATTATTTCATTGGACTAAAAAATATATAAAGCTAAAGTACATTATTTAGTAAACACAATAAAAAATGAATTCTAGAGGGAGTTAATATCAAATATAAAGAAACTATACACAATTTGAAAAAAGAAGCAGCCTAATATTCTAGTTATTCATGTTCTAGATCAATAAAAAATATATATTTTAGAGGAAGGAGAATTGATCACTAAAAAACTGTAGGAAATGACATATCTATAACATTTGGACCAGTACTTCAGAAGTTATTAATATTTCTATNGAATCTCAAATTATCTGACTGGTATTTCTGACTATTAGTAAAAACCAATTTTGAACTACTACAGAAATAACCTCAAGTAATACCGATGCTATTATAAATACAGTAAATATAGCTATAGGCAAAACTAAAACAAGAACAGGGTAAGAACATTGAAATAAAACTACCAATCAAAACAGAAAATAAAGCTTTTCAAACATTTAAAATATCATATAATGTAAATTATTTCATTGGACTAAAAAATATATAAAGCTAAAGTACATTATTTAGTAAACACAATAAAAAATGAATTCTAGAGGGAGTTAATATCAAATATAAAGAAACTATACACAATTTGAAAAAAGAAGCAGCCTAATATTCTAGTTATTCATGTTCTAGATCAATAAAAAATATATATTTTAGAGGAAGGAGAATTGATCACTAAAAAACTGTAGGAAATGACATATCTATAACATTTGGACCAGTACTTCAGAAGTTATTAATATTTCTATACATGGCTAGGAGTGGTGCTGAGAAATGTCTAATTTTAGAAATTGTCATACATGTGTCTCTCACTTAGTCTATTTTTTAAAATCATCATAACTCATGAAGTACTGTTTCAAAAGTTGTAATCAACCCATCATTACCTTAGGTAGATCATTTCCTATTTTATTAAATAGAAATATGTATGCTGCCATTTAAAAATATAAAGTTCACATCTTTATAAGTTATAAGGGGTGATGTTAAAAAGTAATTAATAGTTCTAAAATCAATAAATGCCGGGATATGCAACTAAATAATATCAATTTTTATTTCAATTCTGTATTTATTTTGCGAATAATTGAGTAGTTTATGATAAATGGAGAAAAATTTAAATCCGAAAGAATAAATAGTTTCAATTACTTTTCTTCATAGCCATCAATGGTACAACAAAAACAATTTTCTATCAAGTGAAATCAATAATATATGATAATGATGCAAATATCCTTTGTTCAGCATAGAATTTGGCAAACATATCTGCGTTTTTATTTTTCTTTCGCTAAATTACAGTGTATTTTGTTTACAAAAAAAAAGTTAAAATAATGCCAATCTATAAAACAACCTATACAAATACTGTTATCTAACCCATCCCCCCCAAAAAAATTACTTTAAAACACAAACTACATAAGATTAACCGGCTCACTACTAAAAATCTCCCTCAACTATTAAACCTACTTGATCTTGAACTATTGACTCAGTTATTAATTATTAAACAATTCAACAATTTTTAAATACCTTAATGTAAAACTGATCATTTTTATAAATATTTAATCAAATAAAATATATATTTATTATGTGTTTTAATATGGTAATTTTGAAAACTTTCATGTAATACAGACTTCATAAATATGTATGATTACTATACATATTTTTTTTTATTAAATACTAAAATATACTTAAAAAATGGTCTAGTCAAGTATAAACATTTTTAAACTTTTGTAATTCATTACAAAAAACATTTACACTTGGTTGTTTTACATGGATAGTTATATGCAGTGTTGACTATTAACAATATTTTTTTAATTGAAATCTGACAACTCTAATTATATATCTGTATTGTGTCTCTATTATTGTATCAACATCTTATAATATTTTATGTATAAGTAATTAAATATATTTTTTATCTGTTATAAAGGTTTTTTATTTTTTTAATGGTATTATACATATTTAACTAACTTATAAAATATATATGTTTTTATACCTGGGTCAGATGTGTACTGTAGCAGAGAAATGCCTAATGATAAAAACAGCTTAACCTGCACTTTACCTCTAGTCTATATTTTAAAATTTTGACAACTTTTGATCTACTTGTTCAAATATGTATGTTGCCATTCAAAAAAATTTTTTTATAATTATAAGGGATAAGAAATGGACTTAAAAATCATTTAATTATTCATACATGAACAAATTAATATATAATATATAATAAAACAATATCAGAAAAAATTTTTCCAATACTGTATTTTTGATTAGTATTATTTATGTACTTTGAAAAAGTTGGGGTATTACTTTCTCTCTTATTCCTTTTGGCTATTAAATTATTTATATAATATTTATTAATTTTAGCGCCAGAAAATATGTATCCAAGAGGTGTAAGAGATGTATTCCTAAGATTATATAGAGAAGAAGGACTGAGAGCTTTATATTCTGGAGTTACACCAGTCATGCTTAGAGCATTTCCAGCAAATGCTGCTTGTTTCCTGGGTGTAGAATTTGGACTGAAAACTCTAAATATTTTGTTTCCAACTAAGTCAGAAAAAACAGAAAATCTTTAAAGCATCTTTTTATTATTGATTTTTTTATATTGATGACCATTATGGAACATTTAGTAATTTAAGTATTATTTATTATTGTAAATTCAAATTATACAAGTATAATTTGTATACATATACAAATATTTGTTGTTACAAGGGCTGTGCTTCGTTATAGTAGTATATTAGTAAGTTTGAAGGTAAGAATAAAAACCCTTAAAAAAAAAAAAAAAATTATTTTAAGTAATATAATTTTATTATAAATATTATCTGAAGATTCATTACTTAAACTATTTTATTTATTTTGTTATAGGTAATATAGTTTTTTATTATTTTTATTGAGTAAATGAGGGTAAATATTATCTTTAATTTTTTTATAAACTTGTAAGTATTATAGAAATATTGTATTTTATAATCTATTATTGGTATATTTTAAAGTTAATCTTAATTTATATGTTTGTAACATATATAAACAAAAATAATAAATAATTATTTTTACAATATTTTGAGTACAATTTAATAGTAAATTCACTCTTTTGATATAGTTATTAGTTAATTTCATAATTAAGTGTTTACATACTATGAAGAAAAATATAAAAGAGAAAAATGAAAGTTAAAATACTTAAAGATTTTTATAAAAATAATTTTAAATTCAAAATTAAATCATCATTCAAAATCTTGGGTTTTTAAACTTTCTGTATACATTTTTTCTAATTTATGTAATTCCTCGGGTACAGTTTGACCTGATTTTATTAATATATCAATGAGCTCAGTTGCACTATGTGCATCATTTTTAGTAAACAATGTTATTGCAGATCCTGTTTTACCAGCTCGGCCAGTACGACCTACTCTGTGTACATACTCCTCAATGTTAGTTGGAAAATCATAATTAATAACCAAAGTTATATTATGAATATCCAATCCTCTGGATGCTACATCAGTGGCAACTAAAACAGATACTTTATTTGTCCGCATGTCTTTTACAGCTCTTTCCCTTTCAATTTGTTCTCTGCCTCCATGTATACATCTAAAAAAAACTATTACTAATAAATAAATTATAAAATTAATAAAACAATTATAATATTAGTACCGGCATTTTACATTTCTTTTACATAACTTGTCATACAAAAGATCCACTGATACTTTTGTCCGCATAAAAATTATAATTTTGTCATCACCTGATAACCTTTTCATAAAATTCAATAACCATTGATCTTTTTTATTCTCATTAATTATGATAATTTCTTGTTTCACAGTATTAACGGTAGTCAAATCAAATGTTCCAATTGTTACATGTAAAGGATTAATTGTGTATTTATCAACTAGACATTTCACTCCGATTGGCCAAGTGGCACTAGTTAAGATTGTTTGCCTATCAGATCTTACGTACATTAAAGCAGTTTGAATTTGACATTCAAAACCCATGTCAAGCATACGATCTGCTTCATCCAAAACTAAATATGAAACATGAGAAATATCAACTGTTTGAGTACATAAAAAATCATTTAATCTCCCAGGCGTAGCCACAATGATCTCAGGTTTTTTATGTTCTAAATTATGAGTTTGAGTTTCTGCACTGGCACCACCATAAATGCTAACAACATTAATTCCATTGTAAGTATACTTTTTTACTTCATGTTCTATTTGAAGTACAAGTTCTCTAGTTGGAGCTAATATTAATATTGATGGACCAATATATTTATTTTTTGGAATGGGTTGTCGTTCAAGATGTATTAAAGCTGGTAAAATAAAAGCTAATGTTTTACCAGTACCTGTTTGTGCTATAGCTATCAAATCATACCCACTCATAATAATAGGCCATGCCTGACATTGTACTGGTGTTGGTTCATTAAATTTTTGTTTATTAATTTGTTTCATTATCTCTGGATAATTATGGAAAGCATGTTCAAAATATTTAACAGGTTTAGGAATGAGTCCATGATCATCTTTTACATATTTTACCATTATATTATTTTTAGCAAGTCTAAATTCTTCAACTTCCTTGTCGCTAATATTTTTTATATCACTGTGTTCAACATAAAATTCTTTTATAATTTTGGGTAAAGTCTCTAGTTTTTTACGCTCTCTTTCTTCATTTTCACGACGAATCTCAGTCCAAACTTCTTCAGAGAGAAAAATCCTCTCAGGAGGTGAAGGTTTACGTTCACTTCTTTTGGGTTTTGTTCTACGGGTGTGTGATACTATTTTTAAAGGTATTTGAGGTTCTAGTTCTGAAGTTGTGGCTTCAGAGCTTTTATACTGTCTATTTTTAGGTAAAGAAGACACTGGTATAATTTTTAATGAAAAAATTTTACCTGTAATAGATTCTACAAGGTTTTTTGCAATTGACTGTTGTTCTTCAGTACCTGTCAGCTTTACTTTACGTAAGTTTGGAGACTCACTGTCTAATATTTTAACAGTAGCCCCACTATCTTGTTGTATACTAGAGATTCTTTCTCCACAACGACCAATAACTTTACCAGCCATTTTAGATTCAATTTCAAATATAGTCATGGACGCCATCTTTAATAATAAATTAAATATGAAATTTTAGAATTATTTTGCTGAGTACATTTTCAACTTGAATGATTATCTTCTAATAATACACATAAAATAATAGTTATAAATCATGTCTTAACTTCAGTTAAAATACTACAATAAATGTTATATTAAAAAAATACAATATTTAATAATTATTGTAACTATAACTATGGATTATAAATAAAACGATCTTTTAGAATTTATAAAAATTAGGCATAATTGAATACCCATAAAACCCATACACATGAAGTTTTTACGCAGTTTTTCTCGGTAAAATGTTCTAAGAGGTAAAAAAGGTCTAACCAACATTAACTATTAAATTAAATATAACATTTCTTATAACTAATGATTAATAATAACTTCTCATCGTTGATGCCATTAGTTGTGATCACAATTTAAAACAGGAAACTGTATGAAACGTATATCATGAAATAAAAATGTCGTCACGGAATAGATAAGATCTTATCTATTCTGTAAGGACACATAAAAAAAAAATGTCTAACATTTTTCTCTGTAAGTGTTAATTTTTATAATATGCCAAATAGATAACTATAATTATAATTATAGCTAAAATTAGTTTACAACTTTGTTATATTATATTTCTTTTTTTAATAAAACTATAATATGGTTTTAAAAACGCATATGGATTACCAAGAAGTCTTTTGGGTGACTTGTTGGATAATAATGATATCGTTAAGAAAATTTAGTTGTCATCATTTAACCCAAAATAATATTTACTTAATTAAAAACCCAGCACAGTGGGGTCGTGGCATAGTTGGGTCTAGTATAGATGATATCTGACAGTGATTAAAAGAACTATCATAAAAAACGCTTCGATGCAAATCTGTAGATAGTGTTTAATTTTTAAAAAATGGTGGATTATTCAGAAAGCTAGTGTTTAATTTAAAAAAAAAAATTTGTTAAAATAGCTTATTTTTGAATACGGTAGCCATTTGCGCATAGAAGATAGGTCATCGGGACAAATTTTTTTTTCATTTGATAGTATATAACATAATTTTTGATTTGATATATGTTTAAAGGACGCAGTATTCCCGGAACATTTTCAAAAGTTCAGTTGAAAAAGATCTATGTTTTTTACAATATTTCAATTTTTGAACGCCCCCAATATAAAGGGGATTTGTCCAATTTTAATAAAAAGTATGTCAAATGAAAGATGTACTTATATTGTATTTAGAAAAAAAAATTTGTGCTGATATATACATTTTTCAAAAAATAGTGTTTTTTTAACTACGGCAGCCGTTTAAATGTAGAAGATAAAGTGTCAGGACAAATTTTTTTTTATATTGTACTACATAAAATAAGCTTTAATTTGATATATGTTTGAAGGACGCAGTATTTCCGGAACATTTTCAAAAATTAAGTTGAAAAATTTAGTTTTTGTAAAAAAGTTGCAATTTTAAATCCCCCTCCATGAGCAGGTTAAGTGTTAAATTTTCAAAAAAATAATATCAAATGAAAGGGAAATATCTAAGGTTTTAGTTTTAAAAAATAATTATGTTGATTTGTTGATTTTTGAAAAAGTTATGGAAGTTTTAAGAAAAAAAGTGAAAAAAATGACAAAATTTATCGATTTTTAAATTTGTAATTTTTTTGGATATTTCCCCCATTTTCGGGGAACGAGGGAATTTTTTTTTAATTTTTAAGGGTAATGTCTCCAACTAAATACGATTTGTGATCTTTTGACGTACTTATGAAAGAAATCGGTCCATTGAGAGCTGAGAAAAAGTGGCAAGAGACAAAAAAAAAAAAAAAANGTATAAAACCAGCTGAGAAAAAGTGGTAACAGACACAAAAAAAAAAAACACATCATAGTAAAATTAATACCTTCTCAGCTTCGCATCGAAGCTAAAATAAGTTTTTCAATTTGCATTACTGGTTTAAAAAAAATGTATACACGTTCCTGACAGTTTAATCAGACTAACTAAATATTACACATTTTATTTATCTATTTTTAAAATAAATATAGGTTTAGTTACTTAAAACTTAAGAGCTAAAGATTTTTATAAACGGAATATTATATTGTTTTACAAAAAAAAATTTATATTAATATAATTTATTAAATGTATTTATACATTTTATTAGGTTATTCCAAACACATCATCGGACAGTATAAATTTGTACTGATATGTCTGAAAAATTAGTTATGTGATATAATTGGGATTGTAGTATTAGGTGGCTTTCGTGTATAAACGTAACTACTGAATTAAAATAAGAGTTTTTAGTATCAAAATTTTTCTTTAAAACTTATTTATAAAATGGTTATCTTAAAATCTTAAAAAAAAATTTATTTTTAAAATATTTTTTGTAATTGCAAAAAATAACATAAAAAACTTAAATATAGTTCTATATTGTAAAAATTGATTAAAAAAAAAAAAGTATACAATGTTATGTAGAATGTAAGTTATATGAGTTGTCATTTAAAATCCGTTTCATTCTGTATATATTTTAGCTGCGATGCGAAGCTGAGAAGGTATTAATTTTGATGTGTTTTTTTTATTAATTTCTTTTTTGTGTCTGTGAACGCTCAATCTCAGGTCTCGCTGGACTGATTTTGATGAACAATACATTAAAAGATCACAAATCGTATCTAGTCGAAGACATTACCCTCAAAAATTGATACAAAATTCTAATTTATTAATTAAACAGTTACTTATCCCATGTTCTCCATACAGACAACTAAAATCATTCATTTATAATATTTTCAAAGTATTTATTGACGAAAAAAATTCGATATGATAGGTTTCAATTGCAAAATTAAATCATTTTACTTTGTAATTTTATCATTTTTTTACTCTATTTATGTACGCTACTACTAGACTATAATATTCCAAATATTTTGGTAACATGTTGTTATATAAATAATTTCTAAAAAAAATGATTGTTAGTTTCTCCTGAATTAATAATGGATTTTTAGATCTTTTTAAAAACTTTTTTTTGATTAGTTATTTTAGTTTAAGTAAATCATTGAATTTCAATTGTAGAATATTTTTTAACACCAAAAGTTACTAGGAAATGATTACTATTATTTCTATCTAAGTTATCTATTACGATAAAAATGCAAAAAAATATATTGAACTTTTATGATAAATTTACTATAAATAGTTATTATAAAATTTCCTGACTGCATATTAATCTTAACGATACAATTTTTTTAATTATTATAAAGTTTTCTATTTATTGATGTCAATTTTAAACTTGCAAATTGAGCTAAAAATTATGGTAATAAATTAATATTTTTTTTTTATAAACTTTCACAAAAGTCAACTTTAAAGAAATTTTTTTATGAGAAATAATATTTATATCCCTTTTTCATTCGACAAACTTTATCTTAATCAGGATATAAATAAGGAAATAACAGAACATGTAGCTTTTTGAATAATCCACCATTTTTTAAAAATTAAACATTATCTAAAGATTTGTATCGAAGCGTTTTTTATGTTAGTGATTTTAATCACTGTCAGATATCATTATAATTGACCCAACTATGTTATGCCCCACTGTGCTGGGTTTTTTTACTTTAAACTCTTTGAAAAATAAATGAATAGAAACAATTTTTGTAAATAGATACATTAGGTATTTACCTACCTTTTGGTATATATTTTTTAAAAATCTGACCCTTCACCTGCTCNCCTTTTGGTATATATTTTTTAAAAATCTGACCCTTCACCTGCTCACAGTGGAAGATTCAAAATGACAACTTATCTTTTTAAAGTTTTCCGGAAATTCTGACACTTTTATATATCTTAAATTAAAGCTTATGTAATGTACTATAATATGAAAAAAAAAAATAGTAGTTGTGTAAAGTATGAGCTGGGACCCCCCTAACCCACATGTTGTGGGTTTACCCTGCTATAGGTAGACGGGCGGTGTAAACGGCTGTTGGTATATGGTGAAAGCCATAGTCCCCCCACCCACATGATGTGGGTTTACCCTGTCCTAGGTGGACGGGCGGTGTAAACAACCGGGAGGGGGATATGATGAAAGGCATAGTCCCCTCACCCACCCACATGATGTAGGTTTACCCTGTCATAGGTGGTCGGGCGGTGTAAACGGCCGGGGGGATATGGTGAAAGGTCGATGTTTCTCGTTCCTAGATAGCATTTCGTTATACCATGGTACAAGTTAAAATCATACATTTCGAGGTGTTGAGATAGGGTATTTATATTAAAAACTATACTTAATGATCTATACATGTTCATAGCTAATACTTTACCCTCTCTATTCACTTCGTACAGCTAGGTGATGTTATCGTAGGTACTTATGGTATGTCATAAGTATAATATACTTAAATGTTTCATGTGTAATACATATACTATACATGCAAATAGATGCTTTAGTATATTTATCTTTGTTGATCGAATTGATCTAACCCGATCGTGATCGATAGAGATAGACTGATAATATATGATGATATATATATATATGGATTACGTACTACGTTACATATAAGAACTAAATAAATTATCACAGGGACATATATTTCCAAATAATATACACTTTCCTATACCACTTGAGTATTTTCACATTAATATGTCTATAATCACCTGTTTATACGTATAATTATTCACTTATAGAAGTTGAGATCTCTAGTTTTTTTTTTCTGATGGTACTATTGCATATGCCTTGTAATATAAGAAAAAGTATTTTCATACATGAAAATCATATATGGGAATTTACATTTTTATAAAGTGTTTATGTTAAGAAAATTGCTATATTAATAATTCTTAAATAATGTGACTATTA